GTATTTGGAGACTAGATTTAATCTCAGATTTTCTTGTTTTTCAAGTCATTAAACTTCTGAGCCTCATAGTATTAAACTTTTCATGAGAGGGTTAAATGCAACTTTCCATAGGACAAAGGAAGGAACACTAACACTGCTTGAGTTCCTGTGCTGTCTTAAATAATATATTGACAACTCTACATATATGACCCCATTTATATTTCATGGCAACCCTTGAATGTTGCACTGTTGTTTCAGTTTTCGCATGGGGAACTGATTCTCTAAGAAGTCAAGGGATTTGTTTAAGGACATGCACCTAATAAGCTGCAGATTTTAGTTTGAACCCAGATATTCTCAGCTTTAGAGCCTATATTTTTTCTATTAGGGGACTCTTTCTGCTCTAATGTTGTTATAATAAAACTACTGATTTTATGGTTAGATGTTCTGTTTTACACTTTTCCATATGATTTGATTTTTCATAAAAGATTGAATAATCAGACTGAATAATCACTTTCATTTAGATGTATTATATCTGACTCATGAGAATTTAAAGACTGTACTGAGCCAAAAGCTGTATGAATTGCAGAAATGTTCTAAGCATATGGAGTTACAAAATAATAATTAGAATTAGGGAACACTTATACTCATTGGATACTACCCTTATCCTAATACCTGCCCACCCCACACTCCGCCTTTCAGGCTGTCTTTCACTGTTGGCTCATTTGCGGAGTAAAGTGTAAACCTTAGTTTTCAGAGAACATGCTCAGAGAACTTATTGGCCAGAGGATAAAAGCTGGGACTCAAAATTCAGTCCTACAGGAAAATAGTCTCAGAATTTCATCATTCTACGGTTTTATGATAAGGTATCATAAAGGTGTATTAAAAAAATAGTCTGCCAAGGTTAGAGGTTATTTTTTATTGTGTCTTTTGTCAGTTTGGACCAGTCTTATGAGAGGGATAATTATATCTTGCCTTCATAATCCAAAGAAATAGTATACTATAAATATGATGTAAAAATAATATTTTTAGGGTTTATTAATGCACTTATAACTGAATTGTGGGCCAATCTGGAATGTGGACGAGATGATGTTAGAGTAACCCATCCCAGATCTACTCCAGTGGATCCTATTGACCGAAGCTGTCAAAAGGTAAGAAATGATTTATCTAATAATGTACAGATTTTAAGTATATGTCTCAGAAGTTACTTTATCCAGACTTTATCAGTTACACCCAGCAGCCTTTCCTAATTTTTTTTCTCTCCTATTTTTTCATTTCTAATTTTATTTATTTATTTATTTTTTATTTTCACAATAAATTTAATGAATAATAGAAATACCAGTGTTCCCTGGGAATTAAGTTTTGGAAGGATGTTTTTCTTTCATAATATTTTTACTTTAATTTTTATTTGTTAGTAAAGAGTAATGCACACCAGACATGTTAGAAAACAAACACACAAAAAACCCTGAAGCAAAAACCAGTTGATGAAAAAAAAGCAAGGATACTTTTTTCCCTTAACTCAAATCTAATAGAAAATTGTTAGGATTATTTGAAGAAAATGTATGCAGAAAGAAGGTGCTATCATTTAGAGTAATGTAACCAAAGCAAGACAAACAAACAAAACAAAACTCTTAAGTACCCACACAATGTTCTATTGTAATTCAGTGGGTTTTATATATTTAATATGTTCTCCAAATTTCACTAAAATGAAATGATGATTCCTGGCTTTGATTTTATGGTAGCCTGGGAAATTTTCATTCAAAGGGTGTCATAAAATCATCAAAATGAAAAAAAAAAAGTTATGCTTTCTGTAATGGTGGACTAGTTCCCTCTTGTAGAAAACACAAAGTCAGGAAAAATAACATAAACATCAACTGTTTAAAAGCACTGGAATGGCAATAAGTAGACAAGAAATGGATGGGAGTCGATACAGCTGAAGAGAATCATATTGTTCAATATTCTGGATTTAACAGATTTTTGCTTGAGGGCAAATACCAGTTGGTGCTCCACAGATGGAAATCCATACTCTAACAAGCTTTTAAAAACCAGAAGGCAAGATTTAGGGACTCATAGCAACTGGAAAATGCCAGGCGATTCCTGAAAAGGAGAGAGGAGTATAGGGGATACTCCAAACTGTGTATATACTCTGTCCAAATATGTCACTCTATCCTGAACTGTGCA